ACGGGTGCATACACGGGGGCGCACATGCTGCCAGCCGCATATTCGAGAGCCCAGGTGCACCATCGCCATCGGGGACGATCGGCGGCGGTATGCGCGCGCGAGAAAACCCGGGCATTACCTTCCTTCCCGGCACTCACGTGCCGTCCCTTTTTCTTCGTTTCGCCGGCATATCGGGCACGATTTTTCAAAGCGACTCACGTCCTCTCAATGTGTGATATGCCTCTCAAGCGACACGAAGTCGAGGGAGACACGCTGCATGCGCGTATCTACGCTCAGCCGATGCTATATATTAATGTATACACGAGATATCCCACTGTAGAGAGTGAGACAGAGAGAGAGAAAATGAAAGACAGAAAGAAATCTACAAAGTCACTTTTTACGCGGATTTTCTAAGCAAAAATATGGAGCTGACATTTCCTTACTAAAAATGTCAGGGTCTCTGAAATGCTATACGCGCGCGATATTGAAGACAGAATTTTATTGCAGACGAAACTTATATATTATAAATACTTTTCTTATTTCTGACTGCTGTCAACCGAAGGTTGTTAATCTAAACCTTTATATTATAAATAAATGATATAGTAATCATCGTGTAATCATATTTATAAGATAAAATATTAATTTAAAATATGTATACATATATATGTATAATATACATATGTGTCAATTTTTAACATCAACTTTAACTGTAATTAAACTATTTCTCGTATTTGGTGTTGACTTATAAATATTTTATTATATTAATATTAAAAACGATCTATTTCCTTATATGTAAAATTTACGTTCGATAACAATATGTATCTATTATAATAGCGTTATAGGGTTAAATTGTATTATTCAACCGACATTACAATCCCTTCGAGTTATAGTGAGTACGTATAAGCTAAAAGCTTTCCTCGGTATGTTCTTTTGTCAAGATTATTGTCGTTCAACAGAAAGCAGACGTACTGCTTTCTACAGATAATGCCGACGCCTGCAGATAATCCCGTTCTCCCCGTCATTCGAAAAGCATGAAAGTGTGTATTGAAGATTTACTTGTCTCGAGTACTTTTGTATCTTTACACGCGAGGTCGTGTTATATTTATTCTGTATCTAGGATCACATTCATACTTCTTCAAGATAAGTTCAACAATTGAAGCGCTGAAAACGTGAATGGACTGAATCCAGTTTCCAGAAGAGATTTAAACTAAGTAGAGTGAGCGCACAATGGAGGAAATATTAGGAACAGGAATAAATATTAAAATTGTAATTTATTAGAATCCGTGTATTTTCCAGTGTAACTAGTTTCTGATAAGAATTGAAATGTTAATACTTAATACTGTTCCTCATATTTTTTTCATTGAGCGCGGACTTTAAAACTATGTATGTCCATTTCTCTGTCAATGTAAATTAACTTTAATCTCAGTTCTATTTAACCTTTATTTCTGATGTATATTTTCTGTGTGTATATATAAAAAATGGAAAACAACTTTAATCGAGATTAATTTAACTTACAATAAGTAGTAAAAATTATAGACATTAGACGCATTAAAAGACGTTTATATAGCTCGATTTATGTCAAAGTTATAACATCTGTATTATGAAATTGGCCAATTAGTCATTCCGTTCTTCAGAGGAATAGCTATGATTGGCCAGTTTCGTAACATCGATGCTATAACTTTGGCGCAACTCGCACGAGCCATGTAAACGTAGTCATAGACAATCTAGCTATATAATATATGTGAAAAAGTTACACACATTAGTCAAATTTATTCTTTTTGTATTATAGCGCTTTACATTTATTTTATTCACAATCAGAATTAGTATCGTGTGATTTAGTCTACTCATACGTTTCGATCTAACGGAGTATGAAACATAACTGTGATCTCATCTTAGCGATAACGAATGGAACGGTTAATTTGTGAGATAATAATTTTACTACGTAACAGTCACTTAACTGTCGCTGTGTAAAAACAGTTTTAATATAAATGCAAACGACCGTGATTTTTTTCGCTGGAAAACTCGCGGCGATATGAACAGCTTCGTCATACTCGGGCGATAATCGCACGCGGTTTTTTTCGGTACAGCTGCAATAACGGGCGATGGTGATAAATCCATTCTCGCGCGGCTATGCATGCGGATCTAGACGCGCGTTGCAATGCCGAAGGAGACCCCGTACATACATCAAAGTCTTTGATTTTCCGCGGCTGCCGAATCGCTCCGCGAAATCTGAATTTTTATACGAAGGCAAAAGTGAAAGAGGGTAAAATCACCCTGTCAAAGGCAAGCATATTCGTTCTAGCGGGGCCAGAGTGATTTATATTGAAATAACACCGTCAGGTAAACGAACAGATTGACGGATAAGCCGGTGTGCGAGTATGTGTTCGTGCGTGTATTTTGGCACGTGCGTGTGTGTGCGTGCGCGTGTGTATATATATATTTCATCCTTGAGAGATGTATATGAAAGCTATATCCTTGCGTAAGAGTAGCTTGGCAATGTTCGAGCTCGCTGAAATAGCTCCAGGATTGCCTTGAGAGGATCATCCTTATTTGAAAGTTGAATGAAAATCTCATCGTTTTCAGCACATGCCTCTCCGAAAGATGACCTGAGATCTTACAGTTCCTGGCATTGATAAGACGCAATCGAGCCCGGACCGAAAACGGATTTAAAGTGGATTTAAAGTGACATATGTATTGAGAGATACGAGGTTCTGATTTATTTCAAAGATTTGGAGGAATCGCGACTAGGTTTTCGAGCCAAAAAAGATAAAATATACAGGCGTGTGTGTGTGTGTGTCTATATACTCAGAGTAATTCTATCTCAAGCTTTACCTTGATAAATTACGAATATAAGCTCTAAGATAAAAAAAATTCGATTGAAATTTAAGAAAAAATAATATATGTATTTCTTCTTTCTATATGTTAAGTTATTTAATAATAAACGATTTATTAAGACATATTATATATAATGTAAATACACAATAAGCAAGAAATGTAGCTTATACTGGTCAAAGTTGGATTTTAATTGTTTTAAATAATTACATGTAAATAATTATATGTATATCAGGTTTGTATTCTCTTGAATTGCATAGTTGAATTGGTTTTTCGAACTGAGGTCCCTTTTCACAATATATGGTTACCGATAAATATGTACATATTTAAAAATGGTTACCTAAAGATTAAAAGTTATCAAGAGAATTGATTAATGAAATTTACTTATAAATTTCTTGAGAACCTTTAATCTTCAAGCAATCTACATATTGTGAAAACGAGCCTTAGAAATAGAATTGAACCACCGCAATAATATCATAAATTAAATTAACAATTTAATAATTTGATGTTTTAATTGGCATCATTTTAAGAAATCTTGATATAGATACGGGAAAACCGTAAATAAATTATTGCCAAAAATATTACCTCGACCCGGATGTCGAACCCGAATCTCAATTTATTAATTTATTTACATATTAGATGGTTTGTACTAACAGAGAATAATTTTAATAAAATATATCTGCTCTCTCTATTCTACTCGAATGATTGCACAACGGTAAAACTAATTTTAAGACGCGTTTCTTCAGATGTCGAAACTCACTGGCTCTTGACTTGCGAATAATGGCATTCCTATTGCATGTAAATTTCCCTCTTGCAAGCGCACGAGTATGTGCAGGACGACGACGGGAGTATATGTACCCCATGCACACGGACATCGAATGCGGCGAACTGGCACGACTGGCAGATACAACCTGGCTGTTAGTTTAGCTCAGTTTAATTTAGTTTAGTTTAGTTTAGTCAATAGTTCAGAGGGAGAGAGAGAGAGCCGTTATTGTACCCCGACGTGGCAGCGAGCGCCGAAGGACCACCCTCTTCATTTGCATACCGGGTGTGCCCGCGTAAATACTCGACTCGGGAAAAGTCTGCTCTTGGCACATCAAAGGAACGCGGCGCGAATTAACCCGTGCGTTACCATCCCGCCCGCAAACAGAACCGGCGAAATATCGGCTTTGAACGGCGGTGTCATTGTTGCGCATTGAACACGCCGCTGAGAGAGAGAGAGAGAGAGAGAGAGAGAGAGAGAGAGAGAACGCCTGCTGTCGCAGCCGTTGGAAAGTTTCGTGAATCTCTTGACACAGAAGACAATTAACATTCCCGATTAAATAGAGTGAATTTAATTTAGACAGTCGCTTGTGGTAGGACGAGTGTATGCTTGCAAGTGTTAGATACTTCCAGTTATTAAAATGTATGTTTATTCGCTTAATTGATAATACATTACATAACACGATAATATACAAGCGTCGCTTAGCAGCTTACTTGTCGGCGTTTACAAAGAATCACATATAAAATAATTTATTCTGCACATAGTTATCTGTATATATAGTATAATATTTTTATGTATGTATATTCAATAAAAGGCTTGTTCTTTTTAGCTGAAGTTCTTGCACAGTTCATCTTTTTCATTTTTCTCTCGTTGGAAAAAAAGAGAAAAAATGAACAATTTAATCAAAAAAAAACAGGCTTGTAGTTTTATTCGGCTCAATTTCATCGATGTAAGATTAACTTTAATCTCGGTTCAATTTACTTTTACTTCTTCCTAATTTTAAAAAAATTAGAATAAGATAAAATGAGATTAAAGTTAATTTTACATTAATAAAATCGAGCCTTAGCAATAAAATATATGCAAGGATCTTAAATATTGCGAGTCTTACATCGTGTTTCAAGGAACAATGCAAAATGGCATAAAATAGCAAATTATTGCTTATCAAAAGAAAATATAATTGCAAATACTACAAATATCACAATTGAATCAACTAATACTATCTATAATAAGAAAAAATTTCGAGTATTCATCAATCCGTATTTTACGGTAAAATTAATTAGTATACTAACAATCTGTACAAATAATTATTTTATATTTTATCAATTAATAATAATTTCGTTTAAACAGCTTTGTAACTGATATTTACATCAAGGCTTGCATTATAGATAATATTAGATTCATTCAATTAGACAAAAAGTAAAAAGAATTAAGAATTATGAAGTATTTTATTAAAAGCATTGTAGGATGTCTCTAAATCAAATATCAATTGTCTAACTTGAGTATCTGATAATTCGTCCGAGGCGGACATATTGTCAAGTGTCTGTAACCATTCTGAAACTTTCTCTTTGCCATCAAAGTCACTGGGTAATATACTGAGACGATTCATGGTATCCATGAGATCTCTTAAATCTGGATGTAGTTGATCCATGGCTTTGATTTCCAGTCGTAATTTATCCATAAGAGTAATAAACAACGAAACAATGTCGGCAATGCACTTAGAAGTGTTGCCTTTATCGTCTTTAATCGTGATCGGTCTGTCTTCCTTGATTCTTTCGAGAGCAGCAGGACAATCTAAACGGAATGCTCTGGTGAAGAGGTCGATTGTTGGAAATTGATCGCTCTGTACCTACAGCACATGAAAATAATTAAACAATATTCAAAATAATTAAAATTTATATTTTGTTTGCAATCAGATTTTAACTCCTTCTATCTATAATCTGGGACATTTTTGTCCAAGTTTTTTTTTATGTTGTATGCTTTAAGAATGTGAAAAAATTCAGTTACTTTTCTACATTTCTTTTACTTTTCTATATCTCATTAAATAATTTTCTCAATTATTTTAGAAGGAGCTAAACTCTGCTCTTCCTTATTTCAGAGAAATTTAAAAGTAAAATTTTATTTAAAAAGTTTATACTGCAGATAGAGAGTTAAATATGTTTCTAAATATCGTGTGTATGTATGTATATATATATATATATATGTAGAGAGAGAAAGAGAGAGAGAGAGAAAGGTAGAGCAAGATATATACAGATCTTGTTTTATGCTTTGAAAGCTCACCTGCTTAAAAGCTGCTCTGTATTGCACTAACAATTTACTACATGCTGCAGTGTATTCCTTTGGCGTAACGCAGTCTCTGATATAAGCCTTTTCCAAATGTTGCAATGTATTTACTACGGCATACAGATCTGCCTGATTATCATGCTTCTCCCTTTCTCGGGCATTTTTATACAGCTTAACTTCTTCATATAACTCGGGACGATCCTGAGTAACCGACATTATTCCAAAACTGTAAAGAAAACTGATATCTCAATAATACCAAAAAGTTGCTTTGAGGTTAGGTATTCACAGTAAGAAATGAAGCAATCGCCTATTGTTTATGGAGATTTCAGCTACTTTAACAAAGCAAATGTTATCTGAAAGACCCAATTGAATGATCTCGAACTTTATTAAATTAGATTGCAGCAACTCGAAGAAATATCTAATGTTGAGTAGTTTGACTCAATAACATAAAGTTCCTAAGAATTTTTACGTACCTTTATGCAGCGAATATCGTTAATTTTATATTTATAATAATAATAATTACTATGGATTGTCTTCAAACATCAAGAATAATAAAATTAAAGCGCAATAGACAGCTAAACAACTTATCACTAAACAACTTCTTGATATTCTTGACATTGACAGCAAAACGCTGGCAAATCATAATGACTGCAGAGCCATCTGCTGTGAGTCCCTATAACACTAATCCTATGGAAGACAGTAACCGACTTTATCTATTGTAAGTTAATTTACAATTTTACAATTCTGTTATAATTTTTATATTTTACAATTTATTCTTAAATACATATAATTCTAATTTGAATATATTACAGTCTTTCGCAATTAACAGAGATCTACTTTAACATAAATAATAACTGTTGATTTAAAAAATATATATCAATTTATTACATATAACAAATATTATATATCGATATTATAAATATTATAATCAATCTTGTCAATTTAACATATTAATAGCAAATATCACGTAATGTATGACATATTTGATTAAAAAATGATTGGCTAAACACATATACAGATTGCACACTTAACTTCTATACTGTATTATATATATATTTTACTGATTTTATAACGAAATTATCACAATTATATACATATATAATTAATTCAAAATATAGTCAGCAGCACTTGAACTGATAAGACACATAAAAAGTGCTTTTATTATAAGTGCAACCTGCAAATATTATAATAGAAACAGAAAACTGCATCTTATTGCTAAATGTACATAAATGTAAATAAAATTAGAAATTAAAAATCTGTTGCATCACGTCAGGTTTATCACTGCTAGGCTTTCTCGCACAGAATGGCAATTCTCTTTGTTCTTCTATACAGGGACAGTTAAATTCTTTGAGAATTCGTTTTGTACATTCACGCGATTTTCCCGTATTTTCAAAAATATTAGGTATTTCACAATTATCATTTATATTTATATACATTGCTTCTAGGGTAAGATCATCCTTGTCTAAAATATTCCAAGGCGGATAAACGTTAATTATAACTTTAGATATCATTTTTAATGTACCGACTATATCACAGACCAACATAATTGTTATATTTTTATATGAAACTTCCTTTAATTGAACCTGAGTATTTTGTGCCTCTGCCTGTTCATCGCTTTGCAGGAGATTGAAGCGATCCTCGATTAGAACACCTTTCAGAAATTGGTTGCTAAATTGTTTTGTGCACTCATGTACAAATATACTGATATACTGTGCCGATGTAATGTCATGTTCCTTATTCAGTCGATAACGCCATATACGAATGCTGGATACTTGCGCATTAATCAAAGAATGCAATCTTGCAGCCATACTTCCTCTGGAATAAAATACGACATCAGAAATTATATTTATGAGACATCATTGTCCATACAACCAGGTCATTCCAGCAATATTTCATCAATATTTCAATAAATTCCAATATTACTGCAATATTGCTGGAATTTGTTTGAAGCAATACTTCTTCTGTGCTGTATGAGTTAATACCTACTTTTTAGGTCTGCGACGTTTTTTTTCAGAGTTCAAAAGATGTGCAAACATATTCCTGTTAGGAGACTTTTTCGATGGTGTTGTTATTGTGCTAATAATGGCAGTTTGAGTCGATTTGCTACCTGTCTTCTGTGTGGTTTTGCTTAAAGATTGCACCTCAGAGACTTTAGTTGAAAGAGGTATACTTTGATTCGGCTTCATTTCTGCTTCCGAACAATAAACTTCATCCAAGTCAAATGGTTGTCCTGAAGGGATCGAATATTTATCTACTATTAAAGATTGAGATGTTTTTGCAATTTCTTGTGTATCAACATCCTCTATGAAATGACTTAGATTACTGTTACTGCTAGATGTGTTTGTCAGTCCATTATATTCTTCATTTTTGGTATCATTGTTTGTACCTGTTTCTATTCTTGAATCATTTCGATCAGTATCATTACTTGAGCTGTTAGCAAAACTCAATTTCTCTTGTGTCGATGGTGAAATTGTTTCTATATATTTCTGATATTTCTCTGGACTTTCCTTTGCTTGAGTCCAGATGATAAATGTTTCAGTTTTAATATCTAAATTGTTCTCCAACTTATCTTGGTCCATAGGCATTTCTCTTGGATTATTACAATAACTATCAGGTTTCGTTATTAACTTTATATTTGGACCTGAGTTTTTAGGGTCAGGTAATTTTGAAGATTCTGGCGAAACACTATCTTCTACTTTATACTGTAATTTTTTTCTTCTCTTTTTCTTAAAAATACGATGCATACCTAGAATAGGAGACGTCTCGTCAACAACTATTTTTTTCGTGTCAGATGGTGTAAGCTGCGTCTCGCTCGTAGGTTTATTTTCCTTACTATTCTTTTTATATTCATCATTTGACTTATTGTTAGACCATATATAGTTCGCAGAGTGCCCTGCATTCTCTTGGTGATCCACATTGCCCTGCCTTCTTTCTGCAGCGTTTCTATTTACACAGATCTTTCTGTTAAATCGTTTCCTGCCCTTACCAAGTATCGGCGATGTCTGGGAAGCTGTAGTATTTGATGTTTCTAAAACGGTGGACATCTGAGATGGATCGCATTTGCCATTCTCGAGAGTCTCGAGCCACTTAAGCACGTAATCCTTCTTCTCGGTACATGGTATGTGAGCTACATTCTTGTCGATTACGAGGACGCGATTCGGTACGTAGCACTGGTCAATGGCATTGAGTTCGAGGATCGATTGTCCAAAATTCAAAGATCTTACATGTTTCGGCTTAACATTGCATACTAATGTACCTCCAGAGCGACTGCAGCTTGGTTTATTGTAATCCGACATCGCGAACCCGATTATTTATGGTATATAACCTGCCGGCGGTGAAATTGCACAGCTGCGTAAATCGGAGCATCGGAGTCATATGTGACTATTGTGTGGACTGGACGCCGCCATGTCACGTGTTACCGTAGCAACCAGTCCGTATCTTGAAGCCGTTGCACCCTGGAGCGCGTCAAATTTTAAATTGGGGTGTTTTCCATTTGGCGACACAAATCAAGTATCTATACAAATATCGTTCCATAAGTAATAAATGTTTTTATGGATTGCCAAAAAGATAGAACTAGAATTTATATCGACTTATGTCACTAAATAGAAAATATCCATTCCCATCCACGTACTCCCTAGAATGTAGATTAGAATATAATAGGGGTGTGTTCGGAAAGACGCTTTGAGCACTATTTATCATCTTATCTTTATTTTACGTTTAATAAATGATAAATATAGAACAATAGCGCTAATAGCATCTCTCCTACTTATTAAATTCTTTAAAGTGAATTCGCTCTAAAAAGAGCGAAAATTGTGCTAACCTTTTTTAAAAAGTGACTGAATTTTCTATGTTTAAGAGCGAGATTGTACTCTTCAGAGTGAGATTCACTTTAAAAATTTTATATAAAGTACATATCATTTTGTTATTGCTTAATATTCAATGAAAATAATAAGAATAAAATTGCTGCGTTCAACAGAAAAAATAGTTTATTATAATAGACTTTTTTTAAATACATAATTACGATTTAAATATTTAGCATGAGATTCCTTGAGAATAACTAAAAACAAATTATATTAAAAAACTTTATAACAGTTACAAAGTTGAATGTATAGCCAACGCAGTACGTAAGTGGTCTCGGGTGGGAATCTGAACATAGTCTAGAGAGGGTGGATTGTGTATATTGAAATGAGATGAAAATTACAAAGTTAGCGAATTTGCTAAAATATTTATGAATCTATTGATCAACATTTAGTAAAATGTATATATTTATATATAATAGTTTGCAGAGTGTAAACAATTTACTCTCACTTCATAATATTCATTTCAAGATATACAATCGCGTGCGCGCGAAGCTAGTTCTTTATTCTTTGTTCGAAACTTTCACACAAAAGAATAAAGTATTCCAAAGAAAAAAAAGCATCGAGCAATCGTCAGTCGATTGTTTTCTTCAAATTTGTATGATTTAACAGAACACAAATAATAATAAAATAAATTTTTGAAATATTAATATTTTTATAATTATACATAAATATATTTTTTTAAATAAAATCTTAATGAATCAATACAATTTTTTAATGTAATATGATTTCTCTAATTATTTCGCATATAAAAGTAATCAGACAATGATATTGAAAAATCGATAGTTTACATTTGTATAGTTTATTTTTGTACATAGGCTATAGTAATTTTTAATTTCTAGTATTACAAAATTTTATATACATATAATAGAAAAGAAGTTTAAAAACGAACTTAAAAATAACAATAATTTACATTAATTTAAGTATAATATTATAAGAAACGATTTTAAAGCGTCTTCAATACTTTAATCATTATTTAATACTCTTATATAACTCTTATAATGAATATAGTTATAGAAAGGAAGAATATTAGAAAGGAAGTTAAGTTTTTCTATAAGTCGAATAATATGAATTAATTAAAAGATGTGTACATTAAATTTATCAACATTACTTAAAACATTCTATATGTATAATGTACATTGCATATGACCGTTTTATTCCGTTCTTTACTTTCCCGCTTTGATGACGTGCTTAAACATACAAATGCGAGATTTAGTGTGATAATATCCTGTGCTCCGCGGACCTGCCTCAATATAGCATCCGCTGATTTGAGCCCTGATTTGAGCATGCGGATGTGATACTTGGACGACTATCTTACCCCGATACCAAGTGCTCTTATTCAAATAGAACGACAAGGTGTTCCTTCCGATCTCGTTCAACCGTGATTGAACCCTCACGCTCTCATAGTATTATTTTCGATGAACGTTTTCAAGTAGAAAAGTATCTAAGAATCAATAAAATCTTTCTCTTTTTTCATATTAAATACAAAAATACTATTAATAGTACTTTTAATACACATAAAATAAAAGTGATTAATTGGCCAGTGCTAATATTATTTTTGCTACGAGGGTTGCGTAGGGTTATTCCATCAGTTTCAAATTTCAAGTGATATGAAAATGCAATGGCAGCAAACAATTTCTTTTCACAGTAACGTGTTTACAACTACATTATAGTTGCTTCTTCAGAGCACAAACATGTTCAAATGTTTAGTACGTAAAAATATGTGCTGTTTAGAAATATTAATCGCGAGAAACGGATGAAAGAATCCGGTTTTTCTTAGTAAGTAATATCAAGAAAGAAAAAAGTAGTTGAATTGTTTATTTCGAAGAAGATGTCTTATAAAATTCACCCTTGCACTAAAAAATATATTTTTTTATAAATTATTTGTTTGAATAGTACCAACTGGAAATATTTACTTAAATATAAAGATATATTTATTTGATACAAGAACATTAACTTGATTTAACTATCAATTTTTATTGAGTAAATATATTTATTTATCGTAAGCAAATTTTGGTTGGTGCTATTTAAATAAATATTTATTAAAATTGAGTATACATTGTTTCTCATTGTGCAAATAATCACTAACTTATTCAAGTAATAAATTGTTCCATTGACGTTTTGGTAGTCTTCCCTTGAGCTCTTCTCTCGCTCTGTTAAAATTATGAACAATACATTACTCTAGTAGAGAGAGATTCATTTATAAAATTTTAATTTATAAAATTAAAGAGCAAACGAATTTTATTGTTTTGCAGCATAGAAAGTCGAGAAATCAGTAAGAAGAATAGAGAGAGAGAGAGAGAGAGAGGGGAAGAAGGAGGAGAGAGAAAGAGACCGCGAGAAAGGGTTTAGACCGGTGTGTAAATCTAAATCGGCGAGAGAGCACCGCGCTGTGCTGGCCGCGCGGGCACAATTACCGGGCGGCGAGTGTCGAGGAACCCCATTTTATATATTAATAGTCGAGATAGCCGCCTGTGTGTGTCACGTTACCGAGAGGGCCACCTCGGTTAGGATGGCGGGAGCCAGGGGAGAGCGGTCTCCGAGGATTGTTGTTGGGAAGTGGAGGAGGTCGGGAAGGGGGGGGAATCGGTCTCGCGCGGGAGCGAGAGGACTCGAGAGATTCATACGATCGACCGAGGGAGATCGAGCGATCAGATCCGCGGGACGGGCAGAGGAGAGACCTCGAGGGGAGCCTCGAAATGATAGATACGAGGACGGTATAACGCACGGACCCCTTGTATCTCTACATGGTAGCCTCAGTTCCAGTTCGCGATGGAGGCTACTTGCTCCTTCTAGTACTAGGTAGTTGTGTACTCCTTATCAGGGTGCGAGCAAGCAGAGCGTGCTCGAAAAAGAGGACAGGGTGAGAGAGGAAAAGAGGCACGCGTTGAGGGAGAAGGGTGAGCAATATAGGGAAAGAAATAGTAACTATAGGAAGGATAAAAAAAGAGAGAAAGAGAGGACCAAGAGAGTGTTGAAGAAGACATTGCTTAGGAAGAAAATGGAGACCTTAAGAGGGGTAACAAAAGAAGGTGATCTCTCTGTAAAATATCGGTGATTAAAGAGATAAAAGATCCAAAGGGGTGCAAGCCCAACGAACAACGTTCTAGACCATTTCCTTGAAGAAGCATCGGGTGCCCTCGATTTGTCCTATACTTCGGGGTACGTTTTCCTTCTCCCTCGACAGTTCGTGTGGGGGGGTGACGATTCGCGGTAGTGGTCCAAGACAAACATCGTGAAATCGCGTCATTTCGTAGCGAAACGCGCGTAATACACACATACATGTCGTCATGGTAGAACGGAGGTGACCGGATGCTGGGCGGTGCAGTGATTCGATTGATTCGCTGAAGAGTGTTCGTGGCTTCCACCGAACTTCCGAGTGTCGCGTTAAGTGACTGTACGTGTGCGTGCGTGGGTGCGTGCATGCATGCGTTTGTGTCTCTCGTTGCGTGAATGTACGTACATACGTACATGCTTGCGTGCTTGCGAGCGAATGCTGATCGGGGGCTTATACAGTGACGCCTTGGGCGTTCTTGTGTACGTGCGGGTTCGCGAAGGAAGGCGAAACCTGGCTGGTGGTCGCCGAGGTGGTCCACCCAAGTGAGAGCATCGTCATCATCCTCGTCATCAGCCCCCATCTACGCGCTGCCGCATTTCAATCAGCGCAGCGTAGAGGAAGCGACGGCCGGACGCGCGCGCCTCATCGAGCTTTCTTCGATTCTTCGCGGTAGGCCGCTGGGCGTGAGATCAGCATCGGTAAGATCGAACAAGGGATCGATCATTGACGAAAGGCGCTAGAAAGTTTACAGCTCTTTTGCGAAATTATATTTTTCGAAAATTTGAAATCGAAACGCTTATTTTAACGCAAATTAACTAAATATCTTTAATTTTACAATGAAGATGAATAAAGAAACTGTCGTGCTGAATCGGAGTTGGTTACTTTAAAATTTGGGTATTTGAATAAATTAATTCAATATGATCAGTAAAAAAGTTACGTTCTTAATTTATTAAACCATCTTTTGAGAAACTAATAATATAATACAATTGATGAGTTTTGTATAGGTATATATGAATTGTCCTTATTATTAGTATAAAGGCAAACCCAGTCACGTTCTAATCGACGTTAGTCAATTATATGAAACTGTTATGCAGCGTTTTATGAAGACGTACATTATCTTTATCAAAGAATTGGCTTAGAAGCTATCAAGGAATTGTTAGATCGTTCTTTTAACTTATATTTGCATTTTGTGACGTGTCCGATTAGTTGATTTGTATCTGCATTTTATGATATGTCTGATTAGTTGACCACGTCAGAGAATCCACGTCACAGTGAGGTACGTCATCCGCCATCATTTCTCTTATCAGGCGCAGCTATTATTATATATAACTATCGTTGAGAGAGAAATAGAAATGACTACGTCCTTAATTTTATCAGGTGC